GGGGGGGGGGGGGGGGGGGGACCGGAGAGCCCCGGAGGTTGCCTGGCGCCCTTCAGCCAGGGTGGGGCCAAGCACTCAGTTTACCTGGCACAAGTTGGCGGGGCTTGCCACAGGTCAGTAAAGATAATAGTCCTCGGTCTCCAAGGCCAGCGGAAGGGACTTTGATGGACAAGTGGAAATCCAAGAGAATGGAGTTTATTTATTTCGTACCAGACACAGGCGCTCCCGGGGGAGGGTGCCGGGGGATGGGGACGGCAGAGGCTCCCGCTGTCCGACAATGGCCCGGGCGTGGCCTCCCATTGATGTTGGCCTCCTCACTGTGCCTGAGACAGGTCACCCCTCCGCTCCCCCTCGGAAGTCCTGAAGCCACTAGCTCTTCCTCGCTGGTCCTAGGCTAGAACCAACCAGGCCATGGGTGTTTCCCCGCCAGTCGCCAGTCGCACCCCAGGGATCCCCACCTCCTGGTGGGAAGCAGAGCTCTGGATGCTGCGGGACCAGCTTCCTACCCAGATGGAGGGCGGCGGGGCTCGGTTCCGGGCCTGGGCTGCCCTGGGCCTCGCCTCCACCCAGGAGGCGTGGAGATGAAAGCACTTTTCGCAGGCCACCCTGGCACGGCTCCCCAGAGAGGGAGCAAAGGCCTGGAGACCCCTCCCGGCCAGGACTCCCGGGGTCTTCTGCCCCAGCCTAGGGCAGGCTCTCCTCAGACTCCAGGTTCAAAGCTCTGATGCTCTAGTTCTGTCCTCTGCCTCTGTGGAAGAGCTTCAAGCTCTCAGAGCCTCAGTTTCCCCATCCATGAAGTGGTGATGTCACCATAGACATCCAGGCCAGCAGGGTCAGGACAGAATGGGCCTGTGGCGCCAGGTCCTTAGGGTCCAGTTGGCTTGGGGGCTGGGGCTACGGAGAAGGTGGCAGCAGGGAGGCCCCAGTCAGGGTCACTGGACCCACCTCCCCCGCAGCACAGGGTGGAGCTCAGGTGCCTGGCCTCTGCTGGGGCACTGCCCGGCCCAGCCTTCGCCTGGCTGTGTGCCCCCCTCGGGTACACAGGGTAAAGCCGCTGCCAGGCGGTCCCTGAGCAGCCAGGCCCACTCTCTCCGCTAGAGTGCGTGGGTCCCCACAGAACAGCTGTGCCCGGTTAGCTGAGCAGCATCAGGCAGAACCAGGGCAGCCCCCTGCCTGGGCGGAGGTCGGGGGCAGCAGCAGGGGCTCCCCTTCCGAGGGTGTCACCCACCTCAGTGAGGGCTCCAGGACGCCCCTCAGCCGTGCTGCCCCTCTACCCACATTATCCCAGCACCCGGATGCACAAACGGCCAGAGGCTTCCCGGGTGTACTCTGCGGGAGCCACAGACGGGCAGCTAGCTGTCCCTTTGTCTGACCGTGTCCCTGGGGCAGTCAGGCTCCCAGGGGCCTCAGCCCCACTCGTGAACGAGCACATGCGTGAATGAAGGAATGGTCACTGTCACTTAGAACACAGAAAGGAAGCAACACAGACCTGGGCAGAGGCCCCAAGCAGGACAGGCCGGCCGGCTGAGCTCAGGCAGCAGCTGTGTGGCAGAGTGGCTGTCCTTAAGGTCACTTGCAAAGGCCTAAGATGGCCGGGCATGTTGGTGCACACCTGAGGCTGAGGCAGGAGGATCGACCTGAGTTTGAGGCCAGCCTGGGTTACATAGATGCAAAGAAAAAAATAACACCTAAGTTGGTCAATTTTATGTCATATATGTTTTACCACAATAAAAAATGTAATTTTTCAGCTGGGGATGTAGCTCAGTGGTTCCGCTGCCTGCCTCGAAAGCACAAGGTCCCGAGTTTGATCCCCAGTCCCCCCAAAAAAAATTTTTAATGTAATTTTTCCACAGCCAAGGTATACACCAATTAATAGCTTTAAAAGGAAAAAAACTACGTGTTTGGTGGGACACTGATCTGTTTGTGTTTGGTACTGGGAATTGAACTCAGGCCCTTTTGCTTGCAAAGCAGGAGGTGGAAGCCCCGGACACTGCTCTATACGGAGGGTCACGTGCCCATGTTCCTCCTTTGGGTGGAATCTGTCCCTTCCTGGTGTGCTTCTGGGTCCTCGGCTCTCCCGGCCCTTGTGGCCTCCGCGCTGACTGCTGTGGCCTTGCTTTCAGGATGCGCAGGTGGCCCTAGGACCCTTCAACCCTTCCTGCCTGCTGCCTGCCTGCCAGGACTACTGGACCTATGCTGGCTCCCTCACCACCCCGCCGCTGGCCGAGTCAGTCACCTGGATCATCCACAAGAAGCCCATCGAGGTGGCTCCCAGCCAGGTGAGCAGCACTCCGGCGTCACCGGCCTGATGGGAGGGGTAAGGGAGCAAGGACTGGGGCAGGGGACAGCACCGCGAGCTTTGTCCCGCGTTGGCACTGGGCCGGGGTGGGCGGGGACATGGGTGCCACATGGTACTGTCCCATCTTCAGGGACCACACAAGGCCGGGTGAGCCCTGAGGACACAGGGTCTGACCTGTCAGCCCTGATGTTCTGGGCCAGTCAGGGTAGAACTGTGGGAAAGAGCAGAAGTGATGAGGAAATGGGACAGAGTTCTGGCCACGGTGGGAAGGCATTTGCCAGGAAGTGATGTCACCGTTGGGCGTGGCTCGGTGGCAGAGCACTTGTTGAAAGAGAAGAGCAGACTTTACACTCAGACCCACTTCTCTGAATGATAGAAAAGTACAAAATGTAGACAGCAGAGGAGCTCTCTATTAGGAGTAATGGGCCAGTGTATGCCCGGAGAACAGTCCAGACAGGATGCATCCGTCAGCACTGGCTTCCAGGGTGCTGTGGAACGAGCCACCCAACATGCCACAGCTCATGGCAAACTTTTTCTGCTCTTCTCATGGTCCGTGGTGGGCTGGGGAGGCCCAGTGGGTTTATAGAAGCCTGGGGCTGGGAATCAGGACAGGCCCAGAATCCAGCCAACCAAATAGCACACTCAAAGCCTCTGCTTGCCAGGTGTGCGCCCACATTCCTCTGCCCAGAGTGGGTCAAGTAGGAGCTGCGTCAGTGGGGTCAGGGAAGGGGAAGAGCAAAGCCAGTTCTGCCCCACGGTCACACATCAAGAAGTTAATAGCACTCACCCCAAGGTTCTGCAGTGGTTTTTATTCTCTTCTTGTTCTTACACAAATACTTGATTTTTTTCCTAAAAGGACTAGATAATTTTTGTATAACCTTAAATTTTATATTATTGTTTCTCTGGGAATCTTGAGGGTCTGTGGAACTGCTAAGGCAGTGTAGACCCCAGGATGATGATGGTGCAGTGGGCATCCCCTCCCCTGCCAGGACAGACATCACTAATCGATCTCTGCAGCACTTATCATCTCCAGGGCTCCCGATGGGCTCTCAGCCCCTCCAGCCTCACCCTCTGTGGGAAGCAGCCACAGATGACAACAACTTCTGGGCCGGCTGGCACTTTGAGGTGTGAGGTGCAGATTATCTGCCCTGTCCCTAGCCAGACCTGTGGCAGGCTCAAGGAAGGGGCTGGGTGGAAAATGGCACCTTGTCACCAAAACCCCTCCATTCCTCAGCAGACTTATCCACTGCCAGTGCCCACACACATCAAGTCTGCACAGGAAAAGCCAGGAGCTATGGCACAGGCCTCAGGGTGTGGCTGTCTGGCCGGGAGGTTGCTACAGAGCAGATTACGCTAGTGTGCACGGCTGTCCCAAAGTGTGCCCCTCGGGGGATGGGAGGGGTCCACTGTGCACCCCAGAGTGCAGGGAGCCCAAGTGCACTGGGCACCAGCTTCAGGGCCACCTGTCCACCATGCACCCAGCTCACCCCGTGCACGTGAGGCACACAGCTCCGTGCTGAGCTGGTGATGTGTGTGAGCGTCACCCTCACACCATTCCTGAGCGTGCTCAGGGAAGAAGGGGAACACGTGTAAAGGTGGGCTCCCATTTCCCAGCATGAAAAGTGAACCAGAGAATGCCCTGGCACTTACAGTGTAGTTGTCCTTCGGCATCCTTGGGGATCAGGCTGCAGAATCCCGCAGATATCAAAATCCATGGGTCCTCAAGTCCAGTAGAAATGGCACATACCTGCACTAGTGGCACATGGCAGTAATCCCAGCTTCTGGGGAGGCTGAGGCAGGAGGATCACTAGTTCAAGTCCGCAAATTAAAGACTAAAAAGGGCTGGGGGTGTAGCTTAGTACCTCTGGGTTTGATCCCAAGTGCTGGGGGAAAAAAAGGAGAAAAGAAAAGAAAAAGGTGTAGTATTTCTATGTAACCTACACACATCTTTCCAGATACTTTAAATCATCTCTAGGTGACTTGTTTTGGAACAACTTATTTTTACTTATTATGTGAAATGAACTGGGAGAAAATAGCTGCAAACATAAACTACAGATTAGATTAGGGACATAGATAAATGCTGCAGGCATTAGTAGTTTATTGTTTGTTTAGATTTGTGGCAGGGAAGAGTTTTCTGGTCACCAGGGAAGGGAGTCCCTGAGGGAGCATGGGCACGCGCAATCCCGGGACGTGGGCCCCCAGGCGGTGTGAGGCCACCTGGTCCAGCCAGCCCTCACCTACAGCCCCACCCTTCCTCCTGCACCTGGGTGTCCTCTGTTTGTCAGGTGCCCTGACACCGTCCTTTCAAGACATTCAAAATGGAAACTCAAAAGAACGCTTTCCACCTGAAACACTTAAACTAGAGTCGATAGCGTATAATGCCTAACATGTTACAGCAACAGAGATGCCGATGCATTGTCTCCCATACCTACTAATGCCAAGATGGCAAGGTCAATTCGGTTGCGACAGTGTCATAAGGATAGAATATTACCATCGAAAAATTAACAAAACCAGCAAGTAACAGTAACGTTAGATGAATATTTTTACTACTTCACTGAAGGGTGGACAAAGTGTTACAGGTCCACAGGACTGCAGATGAGCAGTCACTGTGTAAACGTCTCCAGATGGTGTTTTCATGTTTCCTTTTCGATATGTACAGACTGAAGCTGGGTCTTCCCTCTCGTTTCCTATTACGCCTCACACGTGTCATTTCTTTGGGTGCCAGAATAGTTTTCATGGGTTACAGCACGATAGCCTGGATTAGAAACGTGTATAAGTGTGTGTATATATACACACACGTACATTTATTTATGCATATACGAAGGAAAAAGAGAAATAAAGGAAAAATACACTTGGGAGAAAAGCACTGATGTAAAACCACTCACTTCAAAGTAGTTCTAGATGACTTTTCATACTGTGTGCAATGTAAATTCCATGTAAATGATTGTTGCACTGTTTAGGGCGTAATGATCAGGAAAAAAGCCGATGTGTGTTCAGCACAGACAGAATTTTGGGGCAGAATATTTTCCATCTGTAATTGGTTGATCTGGAGGATGCAGAATCACGGTTATGTAGCACCTACTGTGTTAGTTACCAATCGCTGTATAACAAATAGGTCCAAAACTCAAGTTGTTAAGAGAGCAACAGTCACTGATTCCCTCTCCTGGCCTCTGCCAGTGAACTGAGAGGTCCAGAATCTACAGGTGTTCCCACAGCTTCCCCACAGCAAGTAGTCCTGAAGACCGAGGTGGAAGCCGCCCAGTTCTGTGGGTCATGTGGGCCACCCTGACTCAGTTCGGGGACAGACACCAGGACACAGGGCACGGCTCCGTGATCGCTCTGGCTGCTCTCTGTTCCAGCTGTCCGCGTTCCGAACACTGCTGTTCTCTGCACCTGGTGAAGAGGAGGAGGCCATGGTGAACAACTACCGCCCACTTCAGCCCCTGCAGGACCGTAAGGTGCGCGCATCCTTCCGGGCCCTGGCCGAGTCCACGTGAACGGGCAGAGCAGACGAAGCAAGGGCAGTGCGCGCTCCAGGCTTCCCATTCCGGGCCCCATGGCCCCTGAGCCAAATAAAGAGAAGGGCCTTGCTCCCACTCTGCGCTTTCTGGTCACCAGGGAAGGCAGTCCTGAGGAAGCACTAGGGGGAAAAGGGAGCGGAAGCCCGGGACGCGGACATCTCCCAGGCCCCCAGGCAGTGCGCGGCAACCCGGGTCTAGCCGGACACCTCAGGTGGGGCCATCCTCACCCACAGCCCCACCCTCCCTCCTGCAGCTGGGTATCCTGTTTGTCAGGTGTCCTGACGCCGTCCTTTCCCCCCACTTCCTCTTCTCTGGCTGCACCTGTGTCTGGGGCCACTGCCACATCCCAGTACCGAGACAGTGGCTCCGAGTGAGTGGAACAAAATCTGCCAGGAGGCCAGGTGTTGGAGGCTCAGCCTAGCGGGGCTGGCTTCCTCTGATGCTGTGGGAGGCTGCTTTCCCGCTCAAGGAGCCGCCCGCCTTCCTTCCTGCAGCCCCAGCCTCGCCTTCAGACCGCTGCTGACCTCTGCTACCCGTCGCAGCTCCTTGTCTGGCCTGCTGCCTCCCTGGCAAAGGACCCTGTGATTTCCCAGGACGAGCTTCCCACCCAAAGATCCTTGACTTCATGCCACCTGTCACTCCAGGGGCAGGATCAGCACACAGGTCCTGGGGGCTGTGTCTCCACAGACTCAGGCCTCAGCATCTCCCTAGATGCCCCACGATGGGCACCACACACCCTCCCTACCACACTGACCCCAGCCCGTGGGCCAGGCCCTGGGTTTGTGCCTCGGCTTCTGGAGGATTGTCGGTCCCCGGGCTCGCTTCTCTGTTGGCCCCTGCCACATGCCCCCTGCTGGAAGGACAACCAGGGCCACCCCGTCTAATTGCCACCCAAGATAGAGTTCTGTGAGCATCTAAACACTTATTTCGTGAGCACAGGGCAGTGACCTCAGTGCTCTCCCACTGCAGGGCAGCACCGGCTGAGAGCCTTGTGGGGCAGAGGGGGCACTGGGCGGGGCCCTGTCAGCCGGCAGGTGCCCTTTGGGCTGCACCAGTCTGGGTTCCTCTTTTCTAATTAGAAAACGTCTCGATCTTTATAGCGTTTTAGTTTTCATGGCATTACGTTCTTGCCCCTAGAGTAAATACACAGTTCCACACACAACCTACTCCCATCATCTTGGGACGTTTCCGTACTGTCAGGTCAGGAATGACCAACAGCTCCAAAAGCCCAGCAAAGGCTGTCCTGCCTCTCACGGCCGGTGACCATGCCACTTTGCTGGGGGAGACAAAGAGCGCTCTCCCATTGTGTCAGCAAACAGCACCTGGAGTCAGGGGGTTTACTTTGGCAGGGCCTTGTGCCTTTCTCCCAGGGCAGAACTTCCTGTGGGTCAGCACCTGCAGCGGGGAGCTGGGTGGGGCAGGTGGAGTAGCCGTGGAGCCAGCCCTGTTCCAGGCCCTGTGGGTACCACGGCAACAGCTGATGACAGCAGAGCACCAGAGGGATGTGCGGCTCTGTCCTGCAGGTGTGTGTGGGGGGAGATTCCTGGGTTCAGTTTGGACCCAAATACTTTTTGCCACTTGGGAAATGCAGTCACCCACTTGGGTCTCAGTCACAGGACCACGTGTCCTAGGGTTGCTGTACCCAAGGCCGCAGACTCAGTGGTTTTTGGTAGAAGTCCAAAACTCTCACTGAGCTCAGGTCAGGGTGTCCTGGGCGGACCCTCTGGGTGTCGCGGACCTGCCTTGCCACCCTTCCCAGCTCCCGGCATGCAGCTGTCCACACCAGCAGCACAGTGTCCCAGATCTCCTGGCTGTGACCCTCTTGCCTGCTTTGGGAGGGCCCCATCCTGAGTCTGAACCATGGGGTGATCCAGGGCACCCACCCCCTCAGATCCTCAGCTCATGACAGCTGTGAAGTCCTTTCTACATCCAGGGTCTGGGACTGACAAACATCCCAGGCTGCTCTCGGCTCAGCTCATGTGCAAACTAGGGCACCAGCCACCGGGCCCAGCCACTGGGGCTGCTCTGTTGGGAGTGGTGGAGTAGGGTGGCACAAGGGGCTGTGGGGCACAGGGGCATCGGAGGTGCTGGAGTGGCTCTGCTCACAGCACCCCGCACTGGCAGGCGGGGTCACATGGTGTCCGCAGCAGTCCCTGGGCGCACATGGCCAGCTCTTCACATGCAGGAGGCATGAAGGAGCAGCTGAGTCCTGACTCACTTAATTTCAGTTAGCTAAGGCCTGCAAGCGGCTAAGGGCCGCTGGGCACCACGCCGGGCGGCACAGCAGCCATCGGTGAAGGTGTCAGTGAGCCGCCATGAGTCACAGCACACACAGCCCGCCGTGCGATACACTGCACGTGGGCTCAAAGCAGTGGCCCTGCTGCCCCTGGGATCCTGGGTTCCTGGATGCCATCGCCAGCTTGCACACTTCTGGGAATGGGTGGGGCCATAGGAGGTGAGGAGCACCGGGCACACTGAAGGGGGCGCGGGGCTGCAGGAAGACCACCCTACGACAGCCTGAGGACCCCTCCACTTGGCTGCCGAGGCTGCTGTGAGACGCGCCTGCAGCCGGGTCACCAGGAAGTCTGCCCTGGCTGCGATGCATCCTCAAGAAACTGTTTTACACCATGGGGAGGGGGTCGGGGCCGAGGAGTCAGGCAGAGGTGGAAAGTCAGCCCGAAGCCTCGCTCCCGCCGGCCCCTCTGAATTAGGAGAAGGCTGCAGATTGTGGGCCACGCTGACACTAGTGCTGACCATGCCACTCTGCGCCCCTTTGCGCCAGTCATCTTCCTTCGTATACAGTGCCCCTCGGCCCCTGTGGTTTGGGCCCTCACCAGGAAGCGCCTCACCCCAAAGCCTGCTGGGAAGAAGGTCAAAGCTCCTGAAGGTCAGGGAGGAGTGGTGGGGCAGGAACCACAGCTGCCCTGTCCCCTTGAGCTGCCGTTACCAGTTCTTGAGTGTTCTCTGCAACCCTCCTGCTTCTAAGGGGAAACTGAGGCTCACACTCCCAGCCACCTCCCAGGCGGTGGTGTTCCCCACCCTGGTGCAATTAGAAAATTTACAAAAAATGCAGCGTGAGGGTGAACTTAAGCCCTGGAGAAGGCTGTGTGCACAACCTGTGGACAGAGTCTGCCAGGGACAGGGCTGCGGGCCCTGGTGCGGTGCAGGGGAGCCTCAGCCACCACTCCATGGGCCTCGATCCCCCAGGGACCTGGAGAATGAGAGGAAAGGCCGAGCACAGGGAAGGCCACAGCACCTGGGCTCCCTCTCCCTGGCTGCGTGGCAGGCTCAGGTCCACAGGGACACCACGTAGCACCTGCACAGTTCTCTCTCCTGGGAGCATGTAGCCATGGCCTCCTGAAAATGTGCTCTTTTGTCACTATTTTTAACCTTGGCTTCAGCACTGAGACACTGACACATGCCCCGGAAAGTGGCCACAACGGGACACACTACTGCAAGACCCAAACAGCCCAAGAGGAAAGACGTGGGTCTCAGCCCTCAAAGAAACTGCACTACAAACAAACACAGTAGTCCTCAAGGCCATGCAGGAGGCCAGAGAGGCCAGGGACGGTGCCATTGTCTCAGACAGTCTTTGGCCCCGCTTTCAAAGTTCAAGGCTTCCTCCCTTTGCTTTTATGTTTTTTCTCACTTTGTGAAAATATAAGAACACACATGTGTGAGAACAAACACTTGCCTGCTCCTGGCAAAGCATGGCTCACGCCTCCACCTCCTCTCCCAGCACGATTGCAGGTGATGTTTCCCGGACCGGCCTCCAGGGAGGGGCCGTGCCCTACCGACCACAGTGGTGAACACCCACAGTGCTGACCAGTGGCCACGGCCCCACCTCTCCCCGTGGCCCGATCTGTGCTGTCCAGGACATGCAGCCCGGCCCATGGCCACTCCTGGGGCCTGGCACCGCATGTCCTACCTGATGCCCCAGGCTGCTCCTGAGCCCAGAATCCCTAGGAAGCCATGTCCCCAGCTGGATGCCCTTGTGGAAAACGGCTCACCCATCCCCCAAGCTGGACTGAGGGGGCCCAGCAGGTCCCCTCAGCCTGTACCCCCATGCCCAGGTATCCATGGGGTCTGCTGGCAGCACCCCAAAAGCATCATACCTGATAGATCCCTGCTGCCCCTCGCCTCTGGCTCAGCGCCTTCCCCACAGCCCCTTCAAGTCCCCAGCAAACCATCTTCCCAGAATGGGACGGGGCCCTGAGAAAACTTGGCTTGATCACGCTGTTCCCTGCATGATTGAGGGTCCTCACTGTAACAGGAACAAAGCAGGTGCAACCTGGGCATGGCCTCCTGCCTCAGCTTCCTGTCCAGAGGGCCTGTGTTCCCCAGAGCTGCCCCACCTGCCTCCTTCCTCTGGGCAGTCACAGCAGAAGCTATTGAGCAGGACAGAAATACCAGCCCAAAGATTTTCCCAAGCAAAGGACTGTACTCTAGCCAGATGTGGTAGTGCACACCTGTAATCCTAACACTTGAGGCTGAGTCAGGAGGAACATACGTTCAAGGCTGGCCTGGGTAACTTAGCAAGAACCTGACTCAAAATTTTAAAAGGCTTAAGACTACACACACACACACACACACAGATGTTCCACCACAGCACAGGAAATCTGTGCTGATTCCAGTGCTGAGATGCATCCATTTGTCAGAATCTCCTGCATCGGCTTGGGAATCTTTTCCAGCATTGCTGAAACATCTCTAAGCTTGGGAGTTACTTTTAAGCAGTGTGAAACCCATAAGTCCTTTTCCCTGAATTCTGGAAAGTCAGAGAGGAGCCGCCCGGTGTACACAGCCTCTGTTCCTGCATGCGAAGTGTCCCGTGGGTGCCAGCTCCTGGCCACGTGGATGCCGCACTCCCAGGGAGCACCCACTGGGCCACTGTGGCTCTGTCCAGGAAGAAAGGAATGCAGCCTGCACCCCAGTGGAAATCACATGCAGCAAGGGCACCCTGAGTCCTGGGGTGCAGGCAGATGTACACTGCAGCAATGGGGGTCAGCGGGAGGACAGGTCCAGGCCAAGGCGGGGACAAGACCAGGCTTCACTGAGGAGTTGGCATCTGGGCTGAGATGTGGACAGGGTGAGCTAGGAGCCCAGCGTGGTCCAGGTGGCATGGCAGGAGATGAAGACAGAGGGCAAAAGGGCATGCAACTGGTCGGGCTGGACTCTGGGGCAGTGTCCCCATGACTTCCAGCCCACGGGCTGGGGTACAAGAAAGGTGCTGGCCCTGCAGCTCCCGGCCAACCTGGGCAGGCTGGCGGTGACAGAGGCTGTGGGAGACAAAGGATTCTGGTGGAGGGAAGGATGTCCCCTTCTTTTCTTCTCCTTGTCAAGAGTGACAGGACTGACCACAGGGCGACCACAGGACTGGCCACCTTGCCTCTCCCAGCTCTGCAGTTGCCACACCCTTGGGGTGACTCAGCACGGATCTGTGACTATCACCGCCCTCTGTACTCCCTCCTGGGGACACTGGTCACTGAGTCAGGGCCCACCCTCATCCTGACCTATGTGTACAATGGACACTGGAGGTGAGGACCTCTCCTCGGGGACAACATCCAACCCGTAACAGTGGGAGGAAGCAGGAGAACATCCCAGACAAACCCGTTCCACAAGCAGCAGGGGCTGAGACACTCAGGGAGGGCCACACTGGACCAAAGACCCCCGAGCAGCTGTTGTCTGCTTGGCCACTGGCCTTTGCATAGCTGCCCCTGCCGGAGAAACCCTGAGTCCATAGCATGGCCCTGTAGAGGGGTGGCTCACTGAGGCCGGAGATGAGCAGGACCCCTACCCCCCAATGCAGCCTGGGTAGAAGGGGTCTCCCGAAAGGGGCATGTGACAAGCAAGGGCTGTGACACAGACTCGCTACCACCACAAAACCCCCAGCTGCATCCCAGGAACAGAAGGCACTGGCTTTTCAGAAGGGGCAGCGGTTGGCCCTGTCTCACTGCGAAGGTCCCCTAAGGCCCGGGCCACTCTGCAGCATCCAGGACGGGGTGGGAGGCCAAAGGCACTTGCAGAGCAAGGTCACAGAGGATCAGTCCAAACCTCCTGGGGTGAAGGGAGCCCAGCTCCTTGAGCCACCCTCGCAAGGTGGAAATCGTGCCACGGTTCTGTTCTGGAAGTGCGTGAGTCCCAAGCTACCAAGGCCCTAGGTCACTCCACCCCAGATGTGCCTGCTACACACCACAGCCCTGAGAGCTTGTCAAAGACATCGCATTCACTTTGTCTCAAAAAACAAAACAAGAATCTGAGAAGCATTTGGCAATAACCCAAGACAGCTGGATGCTGGCAGAAACCGCTCCCACCTGCGAATGTGCTGCCTCTGAGCCTTGCCCACTGCCAGGTGTGAGGGGCTTCCTGGCACTCTGACCCCACACTGTGCACAAAGGCCATGCGTTCCTGACACCACAGCCTGGGAAACCATCTCCCCCAGACAAGGCAACTGGCTTCCCTACACGCGTCAAGGGCCAGACTGCTCCAAAGCGCAGCTTTCCGAGTTGCAGACTCAGACCCATTGTTTTCATACTCTTCCCAGGCCGGGCCTATGATGGTGACGCACAATGCATTCCACTGGGTGGGCTGCGCAGCACTGACCACAGCGAGACTGGGACAGCTTATTTCCAACATTGGCCTTTGAAGCTGGGATAAATAACCACGTAGTCGAAATGTGGCAACACGGTCATCACCTGGAGAACTCCCCAGAAGTAGAATTGCTGCTCAAAAGGGATGCACAATTGCCAGGCTTTTGAGAGAAACTTCCCAATTTCCATCTAGGGAGAAGCTGCCCTCCCTGCCAGCCTCTGGGAGAACACAGGACGCTTTTGATAAATGACTGAGAAAAAAAAGAGACCGCCGGTCTGGCCGCTAGGTGGCGCTCCTGGCAAAGATTTTTAGTCAGAAGCCGGGTTAGGTGGTGGAGGATTTATGTTTGGTGCGGGGAGGCTGAGATACACAGAAGGAAAGACGGAAAGATACAGAAGGGCTTGGATTTTAAAAACTCGTCACAGTAAAAGACACATTGTCAAGAAAGATGAGGTAAATATGTTCAAATCAGGGTTATTTTGAGAATTAATGGCATTATGTCTGTTAGTGTAATAAACTTAATTTAAATATTCACTATAGTTTATGATCAGTCCTTGTGTGGGTCAAACGTTTGTGGCAATTTCTATCAAATCAAAAACATGACACTGTGAACTCATCCACCTTCTTCACCGGATATGGCACCGTGCGACTTCTGGCTCTTACCCAAAGTCAAAATGACCATAAAAGGTCAACATTTTGAATCAATCCAGGACATAGAGGCAGCCATGATGGCACAACTACAGCCACTCATGAACCCCACCATGGTGGTGCACACCTGTAAATCAGCACTTGGGAGGCTGAGACAGGAGGACCGCCAGGAGTTCAAGGCCAACAGGCGCTACATAATGAGACAGTTTAAAAAAAAAAAAAAAAAAAAAAAAAAAAAAAAAAAAAAAAAAAAAAAAAAAAAAAAAAAAAAAAAAAAAGACACTCATGGAATAAGATCATTCACCAAATAATTTTAATCACACCCATACATGCCAAAGCAGATGTGCTAGAAAAGCGCTAGGAGTGCACCCCGAGAAGCGGGTGAAGGGCACGTGGTGGTTGACAGCCTCTGGCATGCCCCTTCCTGTCCCAAGCGCTGTCCAGAGCCATGGGGGTAAATGGCTGCCCTGTCTCCTGGGCTCTTTTCACCCACCCAGGACTTGGCTCCACCCGGGAAGCCCATCGGGCCTTCTTGGCTGCAGGTGGCTCCCTGGGCCTCTGCTGCTCCTGTCAGCACCGGCAGATTCCAGTTTCATGCCCTGCAGGTGAGCGCCGGTGAGTGCACTTGAGGAGGAGTCAGCCTGGGGCCTTGCCAAATGGCAGCCTCCAAGAAACCAAAATACACGCTGCAGTCCAGCAGCTGGGGGCTGAGCCACAGGTACAGGGCAGCAGATGGCTCAGACAACTCTGGGGTCCTAGCCCGCCTGGGGCAGGACAAGTCAGACCACTGTGAGTGCATCTGCCCCTATTAGATGGCTCTAAGGACTGGCATCTGCCCTGGGAAACGAGAAGCTCTGGTGAGGACTTGGCCAGGGCTCAGCCGCGTCTTCTGCCCTCGTAAAGCGCAGGATGAGAAGCCAGGGCAGTTGCTAAGCTTTGCAATCTTCCTAAACCACCACCTTGGACAAGAGGCAGAGTTGCAAGTGGATGTTTGTGTGGCCTTTCGTCTCCTTTGCTGTTGGCTGTGTGGGCTGGGGAGAATTCCAATGGTTTTATCAGCGCAGATGGATGACTGGCACACCGGGCAGGCGTGGGCGACATGCCCTGGCAGTCCCCTGCTCAGCGGGCTTCGGTGGGGCCGAGGCAGCCTGCCTCCCTCCTCCACGCTGCTCCCGACTTCTGGGGCCATCGTCCGGCTGTGGCCACCGGGCTCAGCTCTCTCACACTGTCCCCCGTAGCCCAGGCCTGGGTCCTACTGCGGCAGACACCAAGTGTCCCCACACACCCATCACTCCCACTGTGTCCAGGCCTGAGACGACCATGAGGCTAGCAGTCCCTTTTCTGACTTCTGACCCAGTTACCTGAATCCCTCTTGCCCAAGGTCCTCTTCGTGTTCCAAGAACAACAGGCCAAAGCCCTTCACTCCGCAGGCTGCTTGCGAGCCACGCCCCCAGCCCCGGGTGGGTCTGAAGCTCTTTCCCAGAGTGCCCACCTTGTTAATCTGGCTGGGCGTTTGCAGCTCCTCTTTCCCAGAGCCTGCGTTCCTGCCTTAAAGCTCTGTGCCCCGCCATGCCAGTCTTTGGCACGCTTTCCCTTGGCCTGAAATGAAAACCTCGGGGTCCAGGCCTGTCCTTTCCCGGCTCTCTGGGTTGTCAAACCACCCCACGATGCAGTCCCGCGGGCGGAACTGTAGCAGGATACCCGGCCCCAGGTGGCCAGGACAAGCAGACTACAAGGAGCAAGCAGAGGTGGGGAGCATCAGGTTAACTCAGACTCCGGGCTCCCTGGAGTATATGGGGATCAGGCACTCCAATCTCCTTGCAGAGGTGAGGAGGGAGCCCTGACCACATGGAGCCGCTGCGGCCTGCTGCACGGAAGATGGGCTCGGGAGACACGCAAGCCGGGGAAGAGGTTGCAAGGCCGGGGATCTGCCGGAAGCTCCACGTGCTCTGAGCAGAACCGGTTG